AACTGCTGGATGCAGAAATGCGTAACTGTTGCTCGATTCTGTACCCTTTTTTCCCCCAAAGTTTCACTCTGCTTTTTGAGTAATAAAGGCATTTCTCCATTTGCTTCTCAAATGGCTACTGTTGCATGTTGGTTTGAAGCCCCAGACTTCAGAGAAAGAACCCCAACAGTAAGCTGGGTTCTTATGTCTCATTTCCCATTTGTGATGCAACTCTCATGGAAGTCAGTGTCTACTCAGCCAATATAAGCTCTTATTTAAAATCAAAGCAGGATTTAAGATGGCAAACACCAACCATGACCTAGTATGTAAGAGTACATATTAAAATATATGTAAAAGAGGTTAAGACTGCTCATAACATCCACCTCTGTGCCAACGCTGACAGAAAGAGTAGCATCTTCTGGTCCCACACAGTCTACAGATACTCTGGTCATAGCGATCCAGATGTCAGACCACAGAGACAGAAAGACATTGTCATTTTATCAAAAGGCAAAGGAAGCAAGGTCGGTGCCTCAATAAATTCAAGGACCGTGGCCTCAGCATACTGAGGACCACAGAGGTGGCTCACGTATTTGAAACAACTGAAATTATTCCTCTCTTTCACCCTTTCTAGAAGGTGGCAGAGGGCTTCTGGCCTGCTCCTATAGCAAAATCTACCCTTGGCTGTACTGAGCAGGGCTTTAACTATGTGTCAGACACCAACGTGGCACAAGTTGGGCATTATTTAGTGTCAGCAAAGGTGACAGAGTAATCTAAGATATTTGGATGTTAAAATGCAAGGTATCTAACTTTTATAAAGGATACCAAATATCCCCAGGACTGGTGTCTGGGGAATTCCCTTTCATTATAGAAGTGCAGAAAAACATTTCACAAGGTGTGGAAAGGCAAGACCCGTGTCTAAAGAAAAAGAAAGGGGAAAAATTGCAATCTATCATTTTGAACACTACCTTGATTATTGCGATTAGTGTAATACCTCTGTCATAGGAGATGGAGAACCTGATAATGAATACAAGTCTGTACTTTAAACTGTGTTTTTAGGTAACCTCAAGCAGTGTATTGGACTATAATAGAGAGCAGACAATACACTGACCCCCCATACACAAATTTATAACCACAGTTAGAAAGGGTCTAACTTTCTTCCCTAGATGCCATTCAAGAGGGAAAAAAAGCTGTGCCAGGCAAAAAGAAAGTTTTCACGAGTGCTACAACAAAGGCCATTTATCCAGCAGCGGCCATCTTCAGACACACATAGAAAAGGTGAGGCTTTTTGGAAAGGTAGAGGGAGGAAAAGAGGAACCCTCTCAGAACAAGTAAACAAACCGAGACCCAGAGGAGCCCGAAGAACTGCAGTTCGAGAGGGCCAGCCCCATCCCTGCAAACCAAGAGGAAACCCCATCTAATCCAGCTTTTAGCAAAGCATAGATTAGATGAGTCTAAACATGTACGTAAATTGTTTGGGGAGTCGAGTGGTTAATCACTTTCCTTAATGTTTTTTGCCCTTTGTTAAATACACTTACTGCCAGCTCTTAATTATCCAGCATAACAGGGAGGAAAGGTGGGGTAAGAGGGGATGAAACAAAAATAAGGATAAGGTGAAGCATGCAAATGAGGCTATTAAAATCATATAGGGGGAATGTGAAGAAGAAAAGGAAGGTTAGTAAAATGGATCCTCATATTAGTACGCCCTCATGCACGTTAAGTTCAGTACAATACAATGTGTCCGTGGCAGCTTAGGTCTGGAAGCAGTATTGCAACGAGCTAATAGACCCGGTAACGGCAGGACAGCACCACCAGTTCAGAGGGTTTCCTGCCCTTCCCCTGCCTGCCAGGCTGAGCTGCCCGTTTCCAGCACTTGCTGCGCTGCATCACAGCCTCTGCTAAGCCGACACCGTTGTTTGCGTGGCTGTGCTAGAACTAGGGTGAGGGGACTGCCCAGCTTGAAATTTAACTCCGCCAGAAATGTTTGTCGTTTATGTTCCAATTTCTGGACGCTTTTTATAAGGAGTATCAGCATTATATAGGCTCTGGTCACAAAGAATGACCAGCATATGTCCGGGTAGACCAGGAGAGCAATAAGCAGAGCACTGTCTAGCAAGATGGAAATCTCTTTGGAATTAGCATGGCCGATGCCCACATCTGCTAAGTGATGGGAATTGTCTCCCATCACACAGACGTCTCGAAGGTAAGAAATTACTAATAGGGAGAGTGATGAGTTTTCATTATGAGGACTTTCATGGAAACTGTAACACTTCTTCCAATACTTGTGAAATCCTCTGTCCAAAGTACACGGAGAAAGTGTGGTATCTGTTGAAATCGCAGCGTGATAAAAATATCAAAATGTCATGGAGCTCAGGGTATGCATAAATGTGCTCCTTGCCAGTTGCCAAGGGACTTTGCAGCCAACATTACAGTTATATTTAACTTCTGAAACACTTTTGCAGACATGCTATAATGCAACATTTTGTTTTGCCTGATTGCTTTTATTTGATCCCTCCTTTCCAGGGAGATTTTTCGTATATTTGACACTAGCAGTTGTTTTGACCATGAAAATTTGGATTTAGGTCAGCTGTTCACAAGCAATTTAGATGGTGACACAAATTCCTCAGTAGGAATACTTCTAGCACCAGAAAGTGAGACACACTTGTCAGACGTGAACAGTCTTTTAAACCACTTGCCTGTGGATTTATCTGTGATACAGTCATTTCTGAATTCACGTTCTTATGCAAACCTCCCTCTTCAGACTTACCGTGCTGTGGTAACAGACTTTTGCTACGGTGTGTGACTGATAATAGCTGGGGGGAGAGGTTAACGTAAAACTAAACGCTAGGCCATCCCCTAGGTGTTGATCTAGCCAGAAAACTAGTATTAAATATATGCACAGCTTTGCCTCCACTACCCTTAGAACATATCACTTAAAACGCATTAGGTCACAGGTTCTAACAAGCACATCAATCAACAAACAGCCAGGAGGTGCTAACATTCTTTGATGTCTCGGATCAGATAGGGATACTACAGTAGACAGTTATATACGTGGTTATGGATGTGGCCAACTCCTGGTCAAAACCGAGGCCTCTGTTCCCCGCAGAGCCAATTCAGCTCAGGTGCATCGGCCGGTGTCAGCTATTAGCGATGCACTGCCTCCGCCTTTGGATGCAGGCAGCTGCAGAAGGAAAGGCGCTCCACAGCAGTCCCAGCACGACCCACACCACCATCTTCACCACTGGATCTGTCCTACTATTAGTGTCAGTCAGGAGAAGACTATGACTCGTGGCTGTAAGGAAACGTTAAGACCCACGGCTGCAGTCCCTAGGCTCTGTAACTGACTTTTGCCCTCCCTGTTTTTCATTTCCCTCCACTCCTGCCCAATGATAAAACGGTTGAAAACATTTTATCGTGGACAAAACTCAATACGTTTTTCACCATGCTTATTTCAGGAGCAAACAGATAAACCAGATGTAAAAACTTGTATGAAGAAGCCACAAGAAAAATTCAGCTGAAAGATAGTCTGACAGCTGACAACACGGTCTTTAGAAGACGTGTAAGGTGACCTGGGTTACATATGCTCCTACCTATGCCCAATAAAAAATTGTTAAAGAGAGAAATTATGCCATCAGTTATAATGCCTGTAACTGTATTAAAATCATAGGAGTAGCATTACATTAGTCAGTGCAAAATATCTACAGAAAATTTCTTTGTGGTCTAAATAAGGACTGACACCAAATAAACAGATTCTTATTCCTACAAATGTTGTTGAGTTTAAACTATATCAAGCTTCCTGGCTGCCCTTACCTTTATAAATTGAATTAACCTAAATCCTGAACACCAAAGTCCGGCGCATTATATTTGCTGAATAACAAAATGTTTGACTCACGCAGCCGGAGGTAGACCAAGTTCCCATTGAATCCAATTTTGGTAGAAGTTTACTAATGGAAAGCAGAAAGAATTGGTGGTGCTTCATTTTGAGTGCGTACAGGCCTATATAGGCTACTTAGGAATAAAACGTGGGGGCTCCCAAAATCTCTGCATCTGTTTTTTTCAGCAACTTTGATAATTAGCTCACGTAAAAGCAGAAATTATGGGGAAACAGATAACCACGTTAAATCACATGATTCTCCTCCTCCAAAAAAAAAAAAAAAAGTATACTTCTCATGAAGGTGACGATGGACATTGTTTTGCTTTTTCCCATTACTGCTGATTATCAAAACACTTAGACGGAATTAGAGGTTTTCTCTCTTATCCCTGTTATCCTGCTTAACAAAAACCAACTGTTAATGACATCAAAATCAATAATAAACGGAAAAAATAATAAGCTAATCATGCATATCACAAAAGACGACATAGAGGAACAATCTCCGTAAATAATCTTTTTTGGTAGTCATTCGCCCTGAACGACAACCTTCCTCCGCGCGAAGCCAACCCACTCGTGCTGCTCAACAACTAATAAGCGAGTGCTTGCAATAGAAGTGTTGATTGCGGGCGAACCTTTCAGTGGTCACACACAGCGATGGGAAAAGACTTCTGCAAAATCAGATTAATTTCCGACCAAAAAAAAAAATGGCTTATGGCTATTGGAAGTGTTCTCCCGAGGATTTTTTTAACAGCATCAGGGCTTTAATCCCCTATTCAGTGGGCCTAATGTGCCACCTGCTGTTGTAATTCTAAATTATAACAGTCTTTGAAGGAAGCTATCGTTCCGCAGCATTTAAACGAGCCGGCTGAAAAAGTGTGGCTTTGGGGTTTTTTCATTCCGGAAACGGCAGTTTATACAAACACCGGCAAAGAAATTTAAACGTCACCTTCGTTAATGCTGCTCAGGCACTGACAACGCGGGTCTAAGCCATAAAAAGCTGTTCTTGCGCCGCAGACGAAAATAGGATGATCTCCTAGCTCCATCTGGTGGCTTACTTTGCATTACAAGTTTTTGGTGTCTTTCCTCGATGGTTTCCCCCCCCTCAAGAAGCACTAGATATTTATTAAAAGGGCAAGTTTTGCGCCTTCTCTAGGTTTTTATCCCGCCGAGTGCAATTCTGCAGCAGTTCGGTCCGCGCCGCTTGCTAAATCTGGAGCTACACGAAACGCCAGTGGAGCTGCGACCGAGCAGACGCGGGGCGGGTGGCCAGCAGGCAACACCGCCCGCTCGAGCAAAGCCCGCCGATCGCCCCGGGGCCGCTCACCGGCCCCGGGTTAGGCGCTTGCCAGGCCCCCCGC